TTTTGGGGCCGGGGCCGCCGGCCGCCGCCCCCCCGCCGGGAGCCCGAGCCTGTCAGCGCTATGGAAACACCAAGTGAAGGGGACAGTCCTGTCCCAGGATCCTGGCGTTCAGGCCGACGAGACGGCAGACAGATGCAGGGAGAAGAGCACAGTGAAACAGTGTGTGCCAGCATGACAGGCAGGGAACTTGGCACAGCATCGCACTAGCGGCTGGTAGGGTTACGAGGAAATATGGGTGCAGAATTGAGGCGAATTTCAGAGCTGCCAGAATGACTTGGGTACATGCGTTCCACTAATTTTGATAATCCCACCCAAACTAAAAAGACAGTAACACAGGGAGACTATTTAAAAAAAAAAAAAAGACTGAGAAGGACTACATTACAGACATATGAAGCAACCATTGTACTAAATATATAGCAAACCCCTGGAGTAACATTGAAACTCTCGGACTTTATTACCAAGGTATTCAACGGTCAGGGCTACTGGCTAATCATAATTAATCTTCTTAATTCCCTCAAAGAGCTGTGACTGATTTATAAGACACAACTCCTTTACAAAGATTGTGATGATTTAGCCCTGTTATTCCATACTTATGAGTATGCCTACTAATTTTATTCTGTAATACACTTTCAGTTAATTTGCCCAGTACCAACTCTTTGGTTTGTCATTCCCAGGTTCTCTCAGAGACCTGTTTCATGAAATGCCATCCTACTGGCTGCAGTCTCTCTTTGGGTACCAAAGCTGATTTGAGCTGCACAGAATAGTTAATAGTTCGCTGTCTTCAGTAACTTCATATTTGAGTTCCCTAACAATTCCCCAAGTGTGAATAACATCTGGTCCATGTTACTTATTAATATAATTCTTGATTTTAAACCTCTTCAGATTGAACCAGCTGCCTCAAATTTATCCTTATTAGAAAAAGTTTCTGATGTAGAATCTCTTAAAATTCCTCCACAGGGAATTCATGCAGCTTTTCTCCTATGACCTTATCTTTTCTGAATACTCTTTAAAACCATGAATATCTGCTGGCCCTATAGACTCTCTGGCAGACTTCCTGCTTCTGATGCATTTGAATTAGATGTTAGTCATCTAGCCTAATGCACTTTAGGAAAAAAAAAAAAACCCACAGGTATTAAGGACTCAGCTCAGTACACAAATTTATGCAGAATAAAAATAGAATACCTTTTCCTTTGAAGTATTATGCATCTACAACTATGTAATAAATCACACTCCTTAACAACCCCTCCTCTCTAAAGCAATTAAAAGACCTAATCAAACTCAATTTTTTTCTGCATTAAAAAACATTTAGGTAGCGAAATTCAGTCACCAACGTTAGCTTCATATGTCTTTATGTGCTTGTCTGCAGGACACCAGGCTCCATTTGGAACACCCGAAATTCTGTAGTGCCAAGCATGGGAGAACGGCTCATCATGCCTCCTTCTGGGTTCCCGGTCATTTACTCTGCCACTTTCTAGGGTCTCTTTTCTAATCATCCTTTGTCATCCCCTATGTGGAAACGTCTCTTTTCCTGGTCTGTTTGAACCATTTTAATAGCGAATCATACAACATTTTTTACGTTAGGGTCATAGAGATTACTAATTATTCTTTCAAAGGTTATTTGTCATTTTTCTCCAAAGGTAAAAGGGGGAAGAAACAGAAAAGAGAGAGAGAAAAGGAATGAAAACAAAGGCAGGAAGGAATAGAATGAAAAACAAAAAAGCAAATGTTTCCAGGCTGAAGCGGAAGAAGGGAAGTAAGGAATTGAGGTCAGTTTTCATGATATCATAGAGCTGCCTTCTTACAAAATATCAGCTCTCAAATTACAAGCTTTACAACAAGAGAAAGCAAAAGGAAAGCATTACATTCCCACATGTTTTGGTCAGGAAGGGTCATACAGTATTTATAATTAATGCCGCACTGATATTCTGCAAAATTGATGACCATTTCAATTTGTGACAAAAATTGTAGGCCTCCTCTAGTTCTCTTGCCAGGAGGCCTCGCCAATCAAAACCACTGCTTCCTTTGTATTCTGGATATTACCAAGACCATATACTTTTCAGAGGTTTATTTTCTGTGGAGATACTTGAGATATAATCATGAGCTAATAATTTAAACGTTCAATTGGTGATTTTGGTCTTCAGATAAAATTATATTTTTACTTCAAATTGTAATGTCATTTATAAAAGTTTTTCAGCAGAACCAACAAAAACTGGAACTTAATGGGGTTTGTGACATTTTGAGATGTAATTGGTTAGCATTATTACAACAGACTAAAAGCAGTATTTCCACTTCATCAGAAATTTTACGGGAAAAAGTATAATTTAGCCTGAAGAACAAAGAAAAAATATTCAATATTCTATTTCTAGAACATAAAAAATTCAAAGAAATTTTAAGCTAGAAGAATATGCTCTGTTTCAAAATAGGAATAGGGCCTCTGAAGCCTAAAGTTTCTTAGTGAATTTGAGTAGTAGCATAATTTGATTCACCTGTCACTCTCAAGTATCACTATCTTTTCAAAAGTGGCTATAAATGTTATTTATTCTTCCAAGAGCTTTAGCTGTTAGAGACCTTCTCACCCTTCCTCAAACATTTTCTTTGCAGTCATGAGCATTGGAACTTTGATTTCTTTAAATAACAGTTAAGATTTTCCCCTCCTTATGGGCTTCCAGGAGCATTAGAAACTATAAATATCCTTAAAATTATGTGTGTGCTGAGCCATACTGATTTTATTTGGAGACAGAATTTATGTAGGGTGTAATGGATTTACCTCAAAGGGGATAAGAAAGCAGAACTAATTTATTGAAAGCAGAGCAAGTTACAGTCCAGTAAAATTAAACACGCATGACTTTGGGGGCATAACTGTGCAGATATTTTTTCTCATAGATTTAGTATGCAAGCAAGCTCATGTCATGGAAGATTTTCAATGTGTGGCCTTCATAACCTACGATGCCGAGGTGCTGTGGGGATTAGCTAGTTAAGAACTGTAAAGAGCTTTGAAGATTATAAAGCATTAAGTTGCATAAGTGCTAAGCACTATTATTTAATACTTAAGTATAATAACCAAGCTTTACAGGCCAACTCATGTTCACCTTACTAGCCTGAGTCTTGTGATTTCAATACAGTTATTGCAAGGGGTTTAGCAAGCAGAACTGACCTTGAGGGAGTGAAATTTCTTCCTGGTTTCTCTCTCAGAGATTGAAGTTAGATACAACTGTATTGGCGTTGCAGAAAATCTAATTGAAAAATAATTATTGTGAAATACAATAGTAGATCAAAGAAATTCACAAAAAAATGCAGTGCTCCGTAAGGCTTCCAGTTCTGTCATCCTTACTTATGCTATCTCCTATCTTACCTCAACTGACCCACTGACTGTTCTCCAGGAAGTACAACTCCACAGCTCGGATCCACAGATGGTACAAAATACAGCAATGATATCAGCTGAAAATCTTGCCAAGTGACAGTAAGGATGGGTAAAATCTGTGCACTAAGTTGTACTTCATACATATTTTAGCTTTGACTTAAATCAGTCAAAAATAATATTTAAGTCAAAATTTTGAAAGACAGATAAGCATAGAGAAACTGTTGTCTTTGTAGATCAAACAAACTGAGAACATTTTTGATGGTTTCTTTGCTGAGCTCTGTTTTGGTGTCACTCTTCCTCTCCTTTGTTCCACAATGTCAGTAGCACTAGTAATTACAGGCTTTTGTGGTAGAGAAGGGACAGAGCATGTGTTAATAAAGTAACAATGGCAAAAAGAAACCAAATGAAATCATTTTGTGCCTAACTACGTCAGAGACAGAGGAACACAAGTGTTTCAGGTCTGCTGATACCCACACACTATAAATGTTAGGCTTGCATATTGTCAGACACTGAGCTGCATCCCAGCATCCTGAAGCCATGAAACTCTATTTGGCGTGCAGGGAAGAAGAGCTGAACTTATTTACCTTACAGGGACTAATTATTATTCAATGATAGTTTCTTTGCAGGTCAAAGCACTTGGATAGTGTTTAAATTTCTTGCCTCTGCAAAAGTGGTACGGACATTCCGTAACGAGAGACTTTTCAAGTTTAAGCATTTCCTTTCTGTGGTTAAGAACAAAGGCTAGTTTCCCATGATGTTTTGACATTTCGATCTGAATTGAAGCCTACAATAAAAATGCAGTGCACTGAATGTCTCAAGCACGAACTGTAAACAGAGAGTGTGAATAGTGCACTTCTATAATAAATGCAGATTCATTGCCTTTCCTGGCTTAAGGAAGCTGCAGTCTACTACTGCCACTCCTACTTCTCTTTGGAAGGCATAAACTTTACTTCCTATATAAGTTATTATTAATCATTGTGTCACAGGAGATCATATTATTCGCTGCAAAACACACACGAAGTCCATGAAAGAGCCAGGGCTCAGCTTAGCTTTCAAGCCCCTGGTCCCCATCCCAAACTGCTCTAGCCATTCAGCCTAGAAATAGGTTATACCAAATCTGGTTCAACACTGCTAGAACAGTGCGGTGAACAGTGCTCAGAGAAAAGGTTGGCTACATACCTTGGCAAATTTGACTCCACACAGCAAAGCGTAGTCCCTGTGAACAAGGTCTTACCAATCTTTTGATCAGCTGTCTCTGAACCTTGGGAACCTGGCGACAGTATACTTCATTCAGATGCAGTTCCTTGGGCTAAAAACTGTTCACACAGAGATACAGAGGTTCTTCGTTCAGGTCACGTCTTATAGGTTTTCCAGTTCTTTATTTGCAGCTGTTGATGACTCCACCTTCCTCCACCGTCGATCTACCACCTCAGCGTCACAGGTATGGCAAGAAAAGCAGCTCAGGTGTAACGTTCCTCTCCTTTGTCTTTTCAAAAACATTTTTCTTGGTTTTATTTATTCCTTTCTGTTTTGCTTATAAATTCTTAATCACACGGTGGCAGCTACTCATTATTCATTTTGGGTTCAAATTATGGGTTAACTATGTTGTTGCTCACACCAACAACAAACTACTTGACCTGCATTAGTATTCTTAATGGTTATTTTATCAGAAGTGAAATTAACTGAGTTTCTGAAAGGGCAGAAATTTACCAAGCACATTACAAATCTAGTTAGAACTTCAAAAAAAAAAAAAATCAGCCAGATCTTTTGGCACCTGAGTTACAGAGTTTTAAAGATAGAATGACGGCTATCAATTTCACATTCTTTTGCTGACTGTGATAAATGTGACTGTAAAATAGGTGTACATGGCTCAGTTTTCATGTGAATTTAGTAGTCTGAGCAAGGTTAAAACTCTGTAAAAATAGAACCATCAACAAATGTTTACAAATACTGCTTAAATCCAGTATCTGGTGCACAGGACAGAAAGGCTTTTCTGGTAAGCTGCCAATATGGCATTTATGAGGGATTTTATTGTTCAAAAATGCAATTGATAGCAAAGATAGCGTTTTGTCAGTTAACTAATTTAATTTGCCAATTTTCATTCTGCCATCCACTAAGCCAAAAATAAACAATGGATGCTTGTCTTAAATGCTATTTGGTAATAAACACTGGAGTTGCTGAGTGCAAATTACGAACCAATCAGTTACATCTACGGTAAAATTGTCCAAAAAAAAGGCAAGCAAATTCTGAAGATCAACCTAAGGTAGGTTTCCATTTTGCTTGTGACATCACACCTACTATAGTTGTATTACTATTCCTACTTCATTTAGAAAATTGTGGTAATTATGAGAATGGTATTAGACTAGATGGATCACCACTCCAATCCAGCACAGTAAGTCAATCATTCCTTCTCTGCTGCTCTGGCTCTGGCAAAAATTGCCTCATTATTGCCACGGCAGAATTCTTCAGTCTTTACAGGGACCAGTTCAACAGAAAAATGGAAGACGTTTTTGACAAGACTTACATGACACTTCATAAACAACCATCTAAACCTACTCTGTGAGCAAAAGCTGCTAACACGGCTGTTATGGTCATTCACATGGAGACAAGATACAAGGCAAGAATACAGCAAGAATTAATGCTACTTGTTTTTTTCTGAAAGTTTTATTGTTTGTTTATTCTTTTCACTGTACCTAAACTTCATAGTTGGATATACAGTTGGATATCCATACATGAATATGAAACTTTTCCTAAATTCTTAAGAATTTTATATATTCTATGAAGACCTCTCTGGGATAGGAGGACCTTCTGTTTGGGCCAACTTTATGAAAATTCGAGCTGAAAAAAGCTTAAACCTTGCTTATGAGCACTCTAGAGTAACTCTACTGTTCTGAAAAGCAAAAGCATTTATCCTTTGTAAGAAAATGTCGCTTATGACTAACAAATGCTGGTTTATCCTGAGTGCTTTTGGATTTTTTTCTACAGAATTATTTTAGCTCATGCACTCTAAAATCATTGAAATTTTAAAGGGGGATTATAAACGCATGTTTACAGCATCCCCCTAGTAGGTGTGTTCACAGATGCACAGTGGATGAAGATGACCACGTGCACCTTTTTCAAACTTTTTGTTATCTCAGACGATAGGTGAGTAGAAGTCCAGAATGTGCTGGGCCTTAAATATTATCCTCTGCTAAACTATCTACCAAAAGTACTGTAAATATGTCAGACTCCTTCCAGTCTCCTGAGTAGAAACTGTTTTCCTGAGGATATAGAGTCCTCCCTCTTTTCTGCTTACCTACATCCTACAACTGTCAAAGAAACCAAAACACTCATCTCAACACGATGCCTCTGGCTCTGTATTCCCATCCATCATCCCAACTTATATCAATGGGAGGGTTAGTCTAATAGAATTTGTTCTGGCTGCCAAGGAGCAGAAATTATCTACAATGTATCCTAGTCAGACCCCCTCTCCTGGTCCAACCTGCAGCAGAGCTAGGAAAAAAGGCTGCATACATGTACAGGGAAATTCCTTCCCAGGTAGAGAAAAAAGGCTTTTGTTGGCGGGGAAAGCTGCTAATATCAAGGAGCATTTGAATTCTTAATATTTCTAAACGTATTCCCACTACCTGCCCCCCACACACTGACCCCAGGTAAATGCAGAAAGTGTTTCTCCATCTTCTTTGGATTTAAGAAGGTATTGATAGCAGGGAGATTTTTGAAAGTGGTTCTTACGGAGCTGAGTTGCTATTCCACTGGCTAGAGCTTTCTCAGGCTGTGGTTTTTAGTACCAGCAAAGGGAACTATGGGACAAACGGGAACATTTTGAAGGGAGTTGCCTGTAATTTCTAGTTGGGTATTTACCACAGGTTTCCACTTACTGGTTGACAACATTTTTTTCCTCTTTTTTGAACAAACCACTTTAACTTTCTGAACTTCGTTTTTCATCCTGAAAATGCACCTTCTTTAGTTTATGAAAGCTATAAGTTCACTTTCCTTGTATATCTCAAATGAGATCCTAATACCACTAAGTCCACCCAAAATACATAACAAAACTTCAGTAGATTTTGAAACCTGTAACCATTTTAGACTTACCTATCCAGCTCAGGTTCCAATGACTTCCAGCTTTCTCTTTTGGAAGCAAACTGTTGTTATATATTCAATGCCACCAAAGTGGGGAGAAGTTAATGTGATTCTCTTCTTTTGATCTCGGAGCTTTTAGGCCTTCAGAGTGTGACCACTAGCAAAAAAGGCACTTGACATGAGAGGCAGAAAGATATCGTTAAAAGTGTAGTCCCCCGAAAGGCTTTAAATCAAAAAGATGTGTGAATTACTGTTCCAGACCATTAGTAGACTTCAGGTTAGCACCTCCACGCTTTGATAGGAATTGCAATGAGGATCTCAAGGGAAATGGCTGATCTGTGCCAGGCAAGGACAGAAGTTAAAGGACTGAGGTATGCTACAGTATATTCAAACCAATGAATTAAACAGGCCACAGCACGCCCATTCCTGAGCCATGATGCTGAGTGGTATTGCACAGCTTATGCCACATATGGTTAAACTCCTTTCTCCTCAGAACAGGAACTGCCTTTTATGAAAAATTCCCAGCCTGTGCTGTCCCCCAAGCCAAGCTCAGGAATTGCCTGGCCAAATCCTAAATGACATCAGCCAAAATATTGCAGAAAGTGTGCTAACAGTTTGGGCAATCGGAGGACAGTGGTTGAGCCCAAGTCCCTGACTTTTTTCCTTGCTAGTATGGATGTAGACCTAGGTCCTGTTTACCTGAGAAGGATCCTAAGCCATGTTATCATTGGCAGTGACATTTCTGATACAGGTTCAGCTCAGGCATGCCCACCCCTCACAAACAAAAGCAGTGCAAGACCTGGCACAAGACAGATTTTTATTTCCAGATCCAAAGAATGCTCCTGAAGCAAATCACTTAAGAAGATGACAAGTTTTGAAAGCTGCTCACCCATGGAAGTCAATAAGTCAGTTGAAAACCAGAAAGAGGAAATGGAGGTGGGTTAAAGCCATTGTCTTGTGCCTAAAACACAGTGTAGTGAGATGAGATAAATGTTCCAGCTCTACTTTCCTATTTTCTATAGGAGATATGTTTCTGTTTTTATAGCAGTGTGATCCTGTATCATTCACCATGCTCACACCTAACTCATCACTATCTTCACACTGCAATGCAGCCTTTACCTTCTCTGGATGTGCTTGCACAATAACTAGTTTTACTTCTACCCGTTTTAACTACTGCTAATCACATTTGTGGCATAGCTGTAACACACTAATTCTGCATCCACAGTACAGATTTTTAGAGCTTGGTAAGCGCATCCCTGCTCTTACGCTTGAGTAACTATATATACAGTTCCCACTAAATCAGACAAATGGATGCTGCTGAGCCATCTGCTTAAATTTGCCTTCAGTTATATAACCTGAGTTATGAGTATTTGCTCACAGATTAAGATATCTCAGTTTAGGTGGCTACAAAGAGGGGCCTGTGTATCAGAGATATCCCCACGAGGCTGGAAAATAACAATGCAGGAACTGAACAATACCTGTGTCTTTCTGCAGCAGCCCATGGAGGCCTGGCAGGATCCCCTAGATCATCACAAATAGCATTAAAGCCTATATACTTACACAACTGAATTGAGCACTAGTATCTCCATGTGAGTGAAGTATCTAAGCTCCCTTTAGTCAGTATGAGATCTACTAAGATCTGTTCAGCTGGAGTCCAGAGAGCAGATTAGCTGACAAAATACAGGGATGTTTGAATTGTTTGTCTCAGAGTAAGAATCACAACCACTGCATTAGTTAGGATGACCACACTTCACCCCCAAACTTGCACACACTACTAAGGTGAGGAGATGCCCACTAGGAAGTTCTTACACTGCTTTAATAAATGCTTACAAGCAGCCCAATGAAAAGCTTGACTTTCTGTCCTTCATGTACTACATACAGATGAACTTTAAATATTTGTGGAAGCATGCTGCTTGTTGTTTTTGAATACACTTTTAGCTATCTCTGTTGCAGCATTACTAGGTCCTGTGCATTACTGCAAACTTTGCTATATACTGTTTTTTTATTTATAATAATGGAAACAAACATTCATCAGAAATTTTCAGTGCTCTTCTCCAAAATTCATGATATTTTGTTTCATTTCTGTTTGGTTTCTATTGTTACAAACAAAAAATCATACAAAAATAGGACCCTATATATTCCTATCTTATTCCCCTGGGGAAAAAAAAGATAGGTCTGATAGATTCATTTCTGCTAACTTCATATCCAAAACTTGACTGACTAGGTAGACTTACCTACCTAAATATCTAGTCTGGACTGCCAATCAGCAAAGAGAGAGGGGGCGGGGGGCGAGATGCATCTCCAAAAGACAGTTTGTTTCATTCTAAAAAAGATGGGATAACTTGCCTTAAAGGAGTGTCTAATACTCTCTACTAAAAGGCTAATTTAACAGGCTAAATTGGCAGAAATGTTTAACTTTCGGACGGCTATGGTCAAGTAGGAGGTATATTGAATCCAACAAAGTGATGTGATTTGACTAAAAGAGATAACTGCTGTTCTATACTTATTCCAAAACCAGAATGATACAGTGTAAATGCAGAACCAGATTTCACTAACGCCACTCACATTCAGTAGTGCTTGAGTGAGTCGTTACCGGCTACCAGTTCAAACCTGAAGAAATTTAGCAAGGTTAAGTTAAGCAAAATCAGGCTGTTTGTGAGTGAACATAAATTACTGACATGTTCTGTCCTTGGATGATTAGAGTGAGAGGTCAAAGTATTTACCCAAGGACCAAATTTTGCCCCTATGTCAATAGCAGTTGGCTACATATTACCTTTGATGATCTGGAAACAAGTACCTAAGCCTCCCTTGCTGCATATAGTGCTACATATCTGCCTGGTTAGAAGCCTTAAAATCTATTTCAGCTGTTTAGGATTTTACATTTTAAGTCCAAAGTTCATATGAATTTGTAATATGCCATGGAAGTCTAGGGATCATAAATCATTTGCAATTATGAATGAAGGTGCTTTTTGTCAACTCTGACCGATTCATCCCTTAGTTTTGGAGTCAAACTCTTCTCAGTGGTGTCCAGTGACAGGGCGAGAGGCAATGGGTACAAACCAAAGCACAGAAATTTTCATCTGAACATAAGAAAATATTTTTTCATGGTGAGGTGGTTGAACACTGGAACTGGTTGCCCAGAGAGGTTGTAAAGTCTCCATCCTTGGAGGTATTCAAAACCCAATAGGACGTGGTCCTGGACAACCTGCTCTAGTTGATCCTGCTTGAGCAGCAGGGCTGGACCAGATAATCGCCAGAAGTCCCTTCCAACTCCAACTATTCTGTGATTCTGTGATCAACAAAAATCCTTTTAGAACTTTGAGATAAACTAAAATACATGTATTTGCAAAATATGCCTCTATAAGGACCCAGAAGAAGAGCTGGCTCTGCTCTGTAAGAAAAATTTATATAGGCTTCCAGACAAGAAAGACAAGGAAGAGGTACATATATGCTTTTGAGGAAGAACCATCTCAAAAAAGAAAATACAGCAACCATAAAGGAGAGACAGAGGAGGTTATTCTCCTAGACCGCAAGAAGGATGGTGCTGCCTGACTGAAAGAATGGTCTTTGCTATCCTTACTGTTGAGGTGGCAATTTTAACCCTACTATTTCATTGGTATGAAAAAAAAAGTGATCGACAGATTTTTCTTTTTATGAAGAACAAATACATGGGGAAATATCACATTCTTTAGCCATTATTATTCAAAGCAGTTTAATTAGAAAGATATCACCTTCAAAGCTATCTACAAACGCATGACTAATTACAACGTTGACAGCTATATTCATTAAGCATAAAGGTATCAATGACAACCAAAGAAGCAAGAGCATCAGTGTGTGAATTTTCTCATCTTCTAGCAAGTCCTCACATTTCTCTAGGAGTTTTCAGCAACAGTTCTGGAAACAGCAGCAACTTCAGTTGCAGTTGCTGGTAAAGCTGTTTCTAGGCTCTAGCACAAGAGCTCTGTTATAATTTCCCCCCCTCTCATGGTTTCTGAGGAAGGAACTCTCTGCCTATGGTCTCAGGATGCTTTTTTCAACCCTTGCTACCATAGATGTGCAAAATTGCCTTTTCATGAATGGTTGTAGCTCTTGGGACCAAGTAATTTGTTTTTGCCTAGTCAGCCTGTCAATGAGTCTGCAAGTCCATAGGGACTGTGATATCCGTGTCTAATCTCTTTGTTCATCATCCTGAACATAATTTCAGTGCAGAGGTCTTACTTTACCAAATAGATCAACACTTACAAGTAGATTGCATTTAATACTTGAGCTAGCCCACTTAAGTCCTAGCCTAGGTAACTGCACCGAACCTCAGTGGGCAGTATAGACATAGGAACAATGCTTTGTTTTTGGCTCTCTGTGGCAGAGGAGAACTTGTAAAGTCAGCTTTATTGAATTCCTAAATATGTGGCTGAATTTTTGAAAGAAAGGAATTAGGCATGTTCAGGAAACAGTTTGCAGATAAAGCGCCAAATAGTCCAGATCTGGAAATCTACCTTCTATGGAAAGGTAGAACTTTTTCTGAAGCGACACAATGCACCTTCACATCTTCTCCTAGCTAGTTTAAGATGAGATCCATGTGTTATCTGCTATGAATTCCATTCTTATGCACTTAAATCTCATCATATAGAGGAGCTTTGCCAGATGCCAAACTGCTAGCACCATCAGACAGATGAATGTCTGAAATAGCAGGTCTTTCAAGTGATGCACATGCTGACACCTACATCTCCCCTCAAGGAAGTGAGCTCTCTGTTCTTAACCAAAGTCCCTTTGTTAAAATATGTTTGCCTTCTGTCTTGATTTCCTACTGTTTTCTATTATTAGTAGTATAAATTTCCTGTCTTGCCCTATTTTATAAGCTCCCTCTTCCTTTAAAAAGCTGAAAGTTTTAGCTAAAATATATTTTTTATAATTGGTATGCAACAATTAGAGTTTTGCACTTTAGTCTTATTTTCTCATTTCTGTAGAACTATCTCAAACGGTTAATAAGACTAAAATATTTTATATAAAACAGGGGCCATTAATTATCTGCCTTATTTTATGCTAGAAATTATGAATCTAATTACAATGGAAAATTATCTAAGCGTATCTATCTTTGCCATTCTTCGTGATGTTACCAAAGTTAGTGGCAGCCTTACTTATTGTCCAGGGAATAGGGAAATGCTAATTATATTGTCTGGCTCCGACTAGTCTGATAATACTTTATAAAAACAAAAAGCTATTGTATGTAGCCTATTTAAATCTAACATAATTGGACTGCATGAACAGAAGTTTAGAAGAACCCTAATACAGTGCTCGTTATTTAAAGAATT